AAGGGGACTACATGGGTTGAGACGGGTACCTGCCTGTCATGTGACAACATGGTGTAACGGGGTACCTGCCGTCTGTGCATACATGGGTTGAGACGGGGTAACGCCTGTCATGTGCATACATGGGGAACGGGAGAAACGCTGTCATTTCATACTGGGGTGGAACGAATAACCTGCCTTCAGTGACATACATGGTGTAGACGGGGTACCTGCCGTCTGTACATACATGGGTGTGAAGGGGTAACCTGCCTGTAGTGACAAACATGGGGTTGAACGGGAAAGCTGTCATGTGAACATGGTGTGAGCGAGTAACCTGCCTGTCATGTGACATACATGGGTGTACGGGTAACTGCCTGCATGTGACATAAGGGTGTGAGAAGGGGTAACTGCCTTATGTGACTACATGGGTGTGAGACGGGGTAACTGCCTGTCATGTGACATATTGGGAGGGGGTAACTGCCCAGTGCATACGGGGGTGGAACGGGGTAACCTGCTGTCATGTGACATCATGGGTGTGGACGGAACCTGCCTGTCATGTGAAACATGGGTGGAGAGGAGTAACCTCCGTTTTTGACAAAGGGTGTGAGACGGGTAACCTCTGATGTGACATCATGGGTGTGAGACGGGGTAACCTGCCTGTCATGGACATCAAGGTTGAGACGAAGTAACCTGCTGTCATGGACATACATGGGTGTGAACGGATAACCTCCGTCAGTACATCATGGGGGTGAGACGGGAGTAACCTGCTTCATTGACTACATGGGGGTGGACGGGTAACCTCTGAGTACATAATGGGTGTGAACGGGGTACCTGCCTTATGTGACATTTGGTTGAGACGAAACCTCCTTCATGACATACATGGGGTGTGAGACGGGGTAACCTGCCTGTCATGTGACATACATGGGGTGAGACGGGTACCTGCCTGTCATGTACATAAGGGGTGTGAGAGGGAACCTGCTGTCTGTGAATAATGGGGTGGAACTGAAATGCTGTCATGTGACATACTGGGGTTGACGGAGTACCTGCCTGTCATGTATACATGGGTTGAGACGGAGTAACTGCCTGTCATTGACATACGGGTTGAGACGGATAACGCTGTCATGTGACAACATGGGGTGAAAGGGGGAACTGCCGTCATTTACATCATGGGGTGTGAACGGGTAACCGCCTTCTTGACATACATGGGTGTAGACGGGGTAACGGCCCGTCATGTAAAACATGGGGTGTGAGACGGAGTAACTGCCCTTTTATGTACTACAGGGGTGTAGACGGAAACCTGCTGTCATGTGACAAACATGAGGTGTTAGACGGAAGTAACCTGCCTGTCATGTGACATACATGGGGTGTGAGACGGGGGTAACCTGCCTGTCATGTGACATACATGGGGTGTGAGACGGGAGTAACCTGCGTGTCATGTGACATACATGGGGTGTGAGACAGAAGTAACCTGCCTGTCATGTGACATACATGGGATGTGAGACGGGAGTAACCTGCCTGTCATGTGACATACATGGGGTGTGAGAAGGGGGTAACCTGCCTGTCATGTGACAAACATGGGGTGTGAGACTGGGGAAACCTGCCTGTCATGTGACATACATGGGTGTGAGACAGAAGTAACCTGCCTGTCATGTGACATACATGGGGTGTGAGACGGGAGTAACCTGCCTGTCATGTGACATACATGGGGTGTGAGAAGGGGGTAACCTGCCTGTCATGTGACATACATGGGGTGTGAGACGGGAGTAACCTGTCCTGTCATGTGACATATATGTGGAGTGAGACGGGAGTAACCTGCCTCTCATGTGACATACATGGGGTGTGAGACGGGAGTAACCTGCATGTCATGTGACACACATGGGGTGTGAGACGGAAGTAACCTGCCTGTCATGTGACATACATGGGGTGTGAGACGGGAGTAACCTGCCTGTCATGTGACATACATGGGGTGTGAGACGGGGGTAACCTACTTGCCATGTGACATTCATGGGTGTGAGACGGGGTAACCTGCCTGTCATGTGACATACATGGGGTTGAGACGGAAGTAACCTGCCTGTCATGTGACATACATGGGGTGTGAGACGGGAGTAACCTGCCCGTCAGGTAACATACATGGGGTGTGAGACGGGAGTAACCTGCCTGTCATATGACATACATGGGGAGTGAGACGGGAGTAACCTGCCTGTCACGTGACATACATGGGGTGTGACACGGGGTAGCCTGCCTGTTATGTGACATACTTGGGGTGTGAGACGGGAAATAACCTGCCTGTCATAGACTACATGGGGTGTGAGACGGGAGTAACCTGCCTTTCATGTGACATACATGGAGTGTGAGACGGGAGTAACCTGCCTGTCATGTGACATACATGGGGTGTGAGACGGGGGTAACCTGCCTGTCATGTCACATACATGGGGTGTGAGACGGGAGTAACCTGCCTGTCATGTGACATACAAGGGGTGTGAGACGGAAGTAAACTGCCTGTCATGTGACATACATGGGGTGTGAGACGGGAGTAACCTGCCTGTCATGTGACATGCATGGGGAGTGAGACGGGAGTAACCTGCCTGTCATGTGACATACATGGAGTGTGAGACGGGAGTAACCAACCTGTCATGTGACATACATGGGGTGTGAGACGGAAGTAACCTGCCTGTCATGTGACATATATGGGGTGTGAGACTGAGTAACCTGCCTGTCATGTGACATACATGGGGTGTGAGACGGGGGTAACCTGCCTGTCATGTGACATACATAGGGTGTTAGACTGGAGTAACCTGCCTGTCATGTGACATACATGGGGTGCGAGACGGAAGTAACCTGCCTGTCATGTGACATACATGAGGTGTGAATCGGAAGTAATCTGCCTGTCATGTGATATACATGGGGTGTGAGACGGGAGTAACCTGCCTGTCATGTGACATACATGGGGTGTGAGACGGGGGTAACCTGCCCGTCATGTGACATACATGGGGTGTGAGACTGGAGTAACCTTCCTGTCATGTGACATACATGGGGTGTGAGACGGGAGTAACCTGCCTGTCATGTGACATACATGGATTTGAGACGGGAGTAACCTGCCTGTCATGTGACATACATGGGGTGTGAGACGGGAGTAACCTGCCTGGCATATGACATACATGGGGGGTGAGACATAGTAACCTGCCCGTCGTGTGACATACATTGGGTTTGAGAAGGGGTAACCTGCCCGTCATGTAACATACATGGGGTGTGGACGGGAGTTTAAACCTGCCTTTCATGTGACGTAATGGGGTGGTGAGACGGGAGTAAAACCCGCCTGTCATGTGACATACATACATGGGGTGTGAGACGGGGGTAACCTGCCTGTCATGTGACATACATGGGGTGTGAGACGGGGGTAACCTGCCCCTAAAAGTGACCCTTTCAAGGGGTGTGAGACGGAAGTAACATGCTGTCATGTGACATACATGGGGTGTGAGACGGGAGTAACCTCCTGTCATGTGACATGCATGGGGGGGTGGACAGGAGTAACCTGCCCGTCATGTGACATACATGGGGTGTGGAGACGGGGTAACCTGCCTGCATGTGACATACATGGGTGTGAGACGGGGGTAACCTGCCTGTCATGTGACATACATGGGGTGTGAGACGGGAGTAACCTGCCTGTCATGTGACATACATGGGGTGTGAGACAGGAGTAACCTGCCTGTCATGTGACATACATGGGGTGTGAGACGGGGTAACCTGCCTGTCATGTGACATACATGGGGGGGTTTAGACGGGGGTAACCTGCCTGTCATGTGACATACATGGGTGTGAGCGGGTAACCCGCCTGTCATGTGACATACATGGGGGTGTGAGGCGGGAGCAACCTGCCTGTCATGTGACATACATGGGGTTTTGAAAACGGGAGAAACCCTTTCCTGTAAAGGTCCCAAAACAGGGGGTGAAGTAGGGGGT